TATATATATATATATATATATATATATATATATATATATATATATATATATATATATACAGTGGCTAAATATGGGAAAATATCGAACGCTTACATTTATGATTTTTAGTACATCAAATATTTATGTTAAACAGAAATTTCTAAAACAGCCATTCTTTAGCGTTTATAGCAAGAGAGAAGTTTACAGATTGTGTTAGTAAAATTAAAAAGTAATTCAATCATATATATATAGGATTTATTGTTGATTGATATTGTTTGATACTGAATTTAATTGTATAATTAATAATAAATATCAAAAAGTGCATTTAAAATGTGCAAAAAAGAGGACCGCCAAAATCGGTGGGGGTGGTGGAGGACCTATGCAAATTTATTAAAAAATTTTTTTGGTCACATATTCCGACCGAATTATAATCTTTGTTTATATTGTACCGAACAATATGAATTTCATTATTGTAAATATATGATATTTCCGTTTGTGTTTTTATTTTAAAATTTTTATACGGAATTTTTATTGAATTTCATCTTATTATCACGAATTGTAAAAGTAGCACGGATACACACCAGAATGCCGATTTTATCGACAGTCAGAAAATTAAAGTAGTTACTTAATTCCAAGGTATTAAAATAGAACTTAGGGGGTGCTAATATACGGGAATTTCGATAATCCCATGAAAAAGATCAAGAGGATCGCTTTCAGGCTCCTCTCTGATATTATTATCGATATATCGAGTGTAATATATATGTGCATGTTTAGAATCAATTATTGCTTTTTTTACTTATCTTATTTTATATTTTTATTTAGATGTGATTGCAAATGTAAATATTATGCTACTAATTTTTATATTTGTTTTAATTAAGAATACGTAAGTCTTTTTATATCTGAAGATTCTACATTTTTATGAAATTTGATTAATATTCTCTCTCACATAGTTTTTCATTAAAAATAAGCATTCATTACAGATTTACGAATATCTACGAAGAGTAATGTTACCGACCATCGATTGTTTTTTAAATCATTTCTTCATATCATTTCTTCAATACTATTTAGTAGTGATATAACTTCATCTAAAGAATATTACTAGCTATTCAACAAATCTTCTAAAAATATTTTATTGATAATGATACAATAATTTAAGTGAACAGAGAAAGAAACAAAGACACATATAACATTGTCATATAAGGTTATTATATCTGATAAAGATGAAATATTTTATATAAGTAATTATCAATACGTTAGAAAACAATTTTTACAAAAAGCTGCAAACTGTTGAAGTATCGAGCTATTTGTGAAGTACACAGAGGGGGCTCGGTGAATACCAATCAAATGCTGCACTCTGGTGGAAATAAGCTTTGGTGGAAATAAGATATAGTACTAGCAAACTTCTGTTTATTTATATCTTATTATTTCACAATGATTCTTTTCTATGAATTAATTCTACGTAAAAGATAAATTTTTCTAAAAAATAATCATAAATCAGTTATATGATTTATGTAAAGTATGCAACATTCTAGAATTAACTTAGAAATAATTTATCTTTTAATTTAAAAATTTTGTAAACTTATAATTGAAAGTATATTGAAAGTATATAAGATTTATTTTAATATTATTTTTTTTCCAATTGCAAAAATGCAAAAATTTTCCGATCTAAGAAAAAAATGTTTCGCTGTTACAGAGATTTATTCGTGCGATTATTTGCATGATTTAACGTGAAATTACGTTGCGTCTTCATCATTATAAATATCCATGTCAAAAATTCTCTCTTGCTTAACTGTAGATTTTATATGACGTGTGAAAAAATTACTTCCCGATGACAAAGAGCGCGATCGAACTTCATATTTATATGACGGCCGGTAGCCGACGCAGATTGCCATGTACAAGTTTATGTTAATGTTGACGAGCGTTTTAAGCGATATTTCGTCACGTATGCATAAATATCGAGTGGCTGCCAAGGATCAACAGGTGGCAGCTCGTTTCTGTTTCTTCACTCGTGCTCTCGCTCGCGCACGATATAACTTGAGTTTCACGCGTATTCATCATCCGACACCCATTAGCCGGTGCGCAATAACAATCGGCGTTTTCCGAATGTAACCGCGCGAAGCTTACTTCTCTAATAACGGCTACGACCCCCATCGCTTTCTTGTCTACGGCCGGTGAATTATTATGCGAGAGCTTTTTACCGGTGCGCGCTTTCTACCGCTCCGTACGCCGGAGAAGCGCGACGAATCGCCGACGACTCACAAGCACGTCGCTTTACCTGAGATTCTACCTCGTCGGTTCTCTTCCTCTCTTTCTTTCTTTCTTCCTTTCTTCCTTTCTTCCTTTCTTTCTCTTAGATATTGCCTGAGATTAAATACAAAACTAAAAAGATATTTAATAAACCGGGGAATCCTATCCGGAATCTCGTAGATGGACGCCCCTAGGATCTCGCTCCCTGGAATTAAATTCGAACTTAGAAGGAAATATGATAATTTATAAAAGCTATTAGCTCAATTTATAAAAGTTATTAGCTCAATTTTCAACTGTATATCTCCATATGAGATTCTACTAAAAATGAACATGTGATAAATTTAGACTTTTCATTTTCTTAATTTAAGACATAATTCGATCTGAAACTTCGAAATTAAGAAATAACGGATATTAAAATTTTTTTTTATCCATTATAATATATATTTTAGAGAGAATAATGCAAAACGACTAACTCAATAAGGTTACATTAAATAAAAAAATAACGTTGATTCCTTGACACGATTGTATTAATTAATCATTGCATAAGACTTATTCCATTACTGTTTCTGCTGACTGTAGTACCTACCAAAGGAACTAATGCAAATTGCATTAGGAAGTTTAATTACTTATCGGGAGCGAGTTTCGCACATCAGTGCGAACGAGCGAAGATAAATCTGCAAGGGTACCCTTGCATTAGCGTGCATATTTGTCATGCATCATGCACTCGAGTATTCTTGCAACGCCTCGCGGCCTGCAACTTAGTTGCAAACGTGATTGCATTGGAAAGTAACGAATACGCGAGACGAACAAACCACATCCTGTGGTATTAATAATACACTATATTTCCGTTTAGCAATGCATTGCAAATATATGTCTGCGCTAGTCTTGTAATTTGCCGTTTCTAAGGATTGTGTCAACAAATTAATATACCATTAGTTTAAAATTAGAAATTTAAAACTGGTTTGATATCCTGTGACGTGAAGGTAAAACAAAAAATATTTGAACACATATGCTACATACGTTAAAAATGTTTTTCTTTTTTATATAAAAAAGTCATTTAAAAGTCATTATTACACTGATGACTTTTCATCATCTTCTATTACATCAGATTTTACGGAAAATTAAGCGTGTTTTTTTCTTCCGTCAAAACGCGCATCTAAAATCATCACATCTATTTACGCAAATTAAAATATTTGCAACAACGTGCGTGTGTATAAAAAAAAAAAAATCTAAAAAAAATATTGTTTAAATATCAAATGGTGAAATATTGTTTCGATCGTAACGTCTTCGCGGTGCAGAACGACGAAATCGCAGACGGAAGTCGGTCGGAGCACAGCGCGCGAGAGTACGTGCGTTACACGTGCACTTCGGAGAGGGTACGGTTGGTCGGCGAGGAGGTCGGTGCGGAGTGCGGAGGGAAAGCCGAAGAAGGGTGGGCGGCGACCGGAGGAACGGAGGAGTGCCGTAGGGGCCGACGCGAACGAAATCCGTTGAGTTTGAGCCGAGCTGAGTGAAGCGCGGGCGTCACGACGACATCGGTTGGCGTCGCGGCTGGCCTCCGCCAATCCGTCCCTCAGCGGCCATGTTGGCCGTGTACCTGGGGCGGAGCACCGAGTGCCTGTTCGTTCCCTCCGTCCTTGTCACGTGTTTCACGCTCGAGCTCCTCTCTCGCCTCCTCCTCTTCCTCCTCCATCGTTTCCTCGTTTGCCTCTACCACCTCGCGATTTCGTCTCGTCTTCTCCTCTTCTTCTTCCTCTTCTTCATCTTCCTCGCTTCCCTCTTTCGCCGCGCCGCGTTATCGCACGTTATCCTCTTGCTCCGCTACCGGCGCGCCGTGGGTGCGCCAGATCGCAGGTCGCATTCAAACTGCACCTGCGACGCACCAGTTGACGTAATGCGAGCCGGGCAACTGCACGGCAGTTTGATTTTCGGTGGTGAAATGCAGAAAGGGATAAGTTAAAATTATGAATTTTTTACTTTTAGATCATCTCGTAGTTTTATCCAATTTTCGGGATCTAGTTGAAAAGGAAGATTCCGCTTTACGTTACACATTAACAGCGAGAAGCATATGTTCACCAGTTAAAAGTTGAAATCTGAAATTGTGGAGTATGACTATAATTATTATCTTTTATATAATTTCAAATAACAAATTGTATTTTGCATAACGGACAAAACGGTCTTTTTTGCGAGAACAAACTCTTCTCTCTCTCTCTCTCTTCTTCTCTCTCTCTCTCTCTCTCTCTCTCTATCTCTCGCTCTCTCATTGTATCTACACGTCAGTTGATTTACG